GTTCTAATGGTGTTTGTAAATAGGATCACAAGTCCGCATCTTGTACAGCAATTAACCACTAAGAAGAATATATGAAGTGTATTTTTTGTTGAAACTGTACTTCCGATTTGATTTGAAACTGTCTCATTGCTGTTTATCAATAAAACTTTGAAAAACAATAAAAAAAATAAAATTGCATCTAAAAAAATAAATAAAAAGAGAGCCAGCCCCCCAAAAAAATATAAAGACCTCTAAACATTACAGGGCTTATTAAGGAAGAATTAATATATTGAGTATTTTATCCAGATTATATTTTCATAATATTATACTTGTGTAGATTTAGTCATTTAAAAGTCAAACTTAATTCCTCAAAAAATACAATTAATGAAATCACTGTGATTTATCCTCCATTATAATTGGCCACACTTCATTTTAGCCTTTTCCAGTTCAAAAATGTTTACACCAAAATCACTTCTCTTCCGTGGCAATAATTAAAATCCTGAAGAATGCAGCTTTTAGTACAACTGACACACACAAGTATTAATCTGACTAAAATTAGCTTAATTAACATTGTTATTAATTCTTAAAGAAGTGCACAACACAGTAGGTAGCAATTATTTTGGCTTTTAAAAATCATTTAAACTGAAATGCACATGATGTATATTCAAAGGTCTATGACTTTCTTCTTTAAAGTAACCAGAAACTAAAAATGCTAACTAAAGGTCTTTTGTCATACACATTAACCAAAGTTTCTTTATCCATAACCAGTATCTTCTTCCAGTTACAATAATTGGTTGCCACAGAAATCTCTAGTTTTGGTTGGAACCAAAATGACAGGTAAACTAAAAACTGACTCAAAGGTCCAACCATTTGCATTCAACATAGGGTTATCTCATGCAAAATTACTTTTTAAATATATTTTTCAAGCATAAGTTTTCTCAAGAAACACAATATTACTTTATATGCCCACTGCAAAATACTCAAAGAGCCTATGAAATGCCTAGTATAAAACAGGTTTTCATTTCAGTATTCATTTAATTAAACTACATTAGTGTTCTCAGTTCTTAAAGTTAATTGATAATTGTAATTAAATTTGAAGTGAAGTAGATATTCTAGTGCCCTACATGCATAAGACTTGATCCTTAATAGAGACACAAATGTGTATCTGGTTTCTACCTAAAGGAGTTATCTTTCCATATTGACACATTAAAACATAAATGTTCCAGAGTTCTAAAAGAAAACAAGGGCCGGCCAAATAGCTCAGTGGATTAAAGCACCTGCTTAGGCAGATGCAGGGGCTGCGAGTTCAATCCCCGAGCCTGTCCTGCCGGCCCCACCCCCGCGGTGCGCTGCGATGGCAATTGAGACTGGGCATGGTGGTGTGTGCCTGTGATCCCAGCTCTTGGGAGGCTGTAAGCAGGTGATCACTGAGTCCGATCTATGTAGTGAGACCGTATAGACCCTATAGACACTGTCCTAAAATTTAAAAAAATTAAAAAAAAAGAAAAACAAAAACAAAAAA